CTCTCTCTCTCTCTCTCTCTCTCTCTCTCTTCAAATGATGTGAATAAATAAATTATGTGAAAAACAATTGTTTTCCTATGTTTTCAGTCCTTCACTGACTTATGAAGAGATTGTGAATCAGAGTTATGACCGATTGAAATGCGATTACGAAAACTGTGGCAAAAGTTTCTACACCCAAACCCGATTGGATTCACATATTAGGCGAAGACATGCCGTCGAAGACAACACACAGTCCGGGGAACCGATCGACAGATCATCTCATGTCAGACACCAGTCATTGAGTGCAGCACTCGGTGGCAGACAACAGATCCCAACGATTACTACTACTAGTCTTACAGTCCCGACAATAACCACAACCACTACTACTTCCAGTGCCGACAGTCAATGGCTGGACATTAAGTATAATAAGTATGTCTCTGTGTCTATGTTTTAAAACATTCATTAATTATTACCCCATTTATTAAGTCTCATCACATCATCCGATATTAGAGACCAGTCCAAGAGTAGAGCACCCGATGGCAGACAACAGATGCAAGCAATCACTACCACTGACCCATCACTGACCACAATCATCACCACTTCCAGTCCCGACAGCCAATCGATGGATAATAAACGGGATAAGTATGTAATAATTGTCTATATTTTATGAATTAATTGATATGTTTTTCAACACTAAAGTGTTTGGGACTCTGATATTGAACTCATTGGTAGAGTTCCGGCGTTCAAACGGCCCGCACGTAACCGATCGCCCGTTGATATCAAACCATCGCTCATAGACTCCATACCTCTGGTGTCGGAAACAGTAAACCAATCGCCGATTGACATAAAGCCAGTGATAATAAGCACTAGCCCTCGGGAGTCGTCAACTGTCCATAAGTAATGCTATAATAAAATTTTTAATAATTTCATATAATATAATAATTAATTTAGTTATAATTATATTAATAATTAATTAATATTAAATATATTATATTTTAAGCTCACCATTCAGTACGACAACTACTGGTGCCGGTAATGAGCGCTCACATGAGTTAGCGTCGGATATACACCGCTTTCCCGAAAGCAATGCTAGTAATGTGGAAACACCGGTGCCGTCGACGACCGCCACTACTATCAGCGGTTCGGGCCCTACAGTGGCTTCCAGTGAGAGGCCATACAAATGCGATAAATGCGGTCAGAGTTACGGTCGCGACCGAGAGCTCAAACAACACCGGGAGCTCCGACACGGCGTACGCGAGTCCTACCCATGCGATCAATGCGACCGCCAATACGAGAAAGAGTCACAATTGGCGGCACACATGCGGCACAATCACAGGGCGCGGGACCGTCGCTACCGGTGCCCATACGCTCAGTGCGAGCGACGGTTTGAATCGCCTGAGCTTCTCGAAGAGCACCGGCTCAGAGCCCACCGTCACTACCGATGCGATTACAAGCCCTGCGTCATGACGTATACCACCAGCCATGGGCTACGCGCGCACCAGCAATGGTGTTGGTATCGATCGGACTCACGGCGTACGCCTTCCAGGTCGTCGTCGCACAGGTATGTCATTGGGATATAAGGGTCGCACAAATTCAATGAGTGTTTTGAATTTGATCTGCAATAATAGGTCTACGGATAGGATTTATCGGTGCAATGTTTGCCCCGTAAAGTACACCACTAGGGCTTTACTCTACGATCATACAGAACGGGCCCACAAACGCCGGTCCGTAACACTCAATCGGGGCCCAGTAGTGGAGAGTGAGAGCGCGGACCGCAGCGGACCAGTCATTGACACAAACGGTAAAGAAGTGGCCGATCGTCGCACCGCCGGAGAGGAGACACCGGCCGTCGTATCGCACACTTCGGTGGCGGCGCCGCTCGAGACGGCCCACAATAACAGCCAGATTTCGGACTCAATTGAATTGAACGACAAGTCTGTGGTCACACCCGATGTCACACATCAGACATCGACTGCGGGTCTCAATAATCAATCACAAAATGTAAGCATAAAATCAATTATTATTTTATTTCATCACTTTTTTGTAATTAATTTATTAATAAAATAATTTATCGAAATTTTTGTTCATTTTAAGGAAAGAAAATTCCTATGCGATCAACAAAATTGCGGTAAAACATTCACATCAAAACCCCATTTATTTCGACACAAAAATAGCGTTCATTTAAATGTGAGATTTATTTGTGATTTCAATGAATGCAACAAAAGTTTTACTCAAAAAGACCATTTATTTCGACCAGAGGTGGCTATAACTCTCGCGTCACAATACACACAAAAATTCAAATGTAATGAAGAAAATTGTGGCAAAAGTTTCAATCGAAATGATGAGTTAATTCGACATAAAAGGATACATTCGTGAGAAAACCCATTTGTTTGTCATTTTAATAATTGTAATAAAAGTTTTTCAGAAAAATGTAATCTCAAAAATCACATTAAAATACATGAATATAAAAAGTCATAAATGTATTCATAATAACTGTAATCAACGGTTAGTTACGAAACAGGAATTGAAACATACATTAATTACAAACATAATGCTGAAAATTACTTAACATGCTTACAATTAATTAAGTTATACTTATAATTCATATTCAGTCATATGTCTTAAAATAAATCAATGATATTTTTAAACAACAATATGACCACAAATTGTTCATTGCATGGCATATAATACACAATACCGGTAATACGACAGATACTGCATATTTCTATGTAACGTTAATTGTTATACTGTTTTCAAATAAGATTTATTAATAACATAATCATCAGTTAATTTTAAATATACAATTGTTTTTGATAAATAAAATTTGTTCAGTAAGGCATTATAAATAATGCATAACAAACCACACGATGTAATAAATCTATTAATAAATAAATACGTTAAACAAAAATAATACAATTAAATAAATAGCAATCAAATTGTAAACTCAAAATCGGATATCACTAACAATACTAATTAAATAACTATAAAATACTAATTAAATAACTATAATAAATAATTTCATAAACTGATTAATACACAGCAAAATAGCGTTCAAACACACAAAAT